AATGAATCCACATCTGATACAGCAGCTGCAGTTGGAGTAACCACTTTGTTAAGCTTACGATAATCCACCGTCATTCTCCAAGATCCACCTGTCTTCTACACAGCCAAATGGGAGAGTTGAACAGGGATGTGATGGGAGTCACCACCCCTACATCTTTCAAGTCCTTGATGGTGGCACTGATCTCTGCAATTTTTCTAGGGATGCGATATTATTTTTGATTTATGACTTTTCTAGGTAGAGGCAGTTCTAATGGCTTCCATTTGGCCTTTCCCACCATAACAGCCCTCACTTTACCAGTCAGGGAGCCAATGTGGGGGTTCTGCCAGCTGCTAAGTATGTCTGTGTCAATTATGCTTTCTGGCACTGGGGAAATGAGCATGGGATGAGTCCAAGGACCCACACTCTAAGTTAGATCTGAGCTAAAACTCCATTAATTACCTGACCTCCATAAGCCCCTACCTTAACTGGAGGATCAAAATAACATTTTGAGTCCTCCAGAATCAATGTCAGCTCAGAGCTAGTGACCAGTAGTCCCTGAAAGTTCTGATTATTTCCCTTTCCCCTATGCACAGTTACCCTAGTAAAAGGCTGGAGGTCTTCTTGGGGAAATATTGAAGAAAGATTAACAGCATAAACTGTTGGTAGTGTAGTGGGGTCCTTCCTCAAAGGGACCCAGTCTTTCCTTCATTCAAGGGGTTCTGGGTCTGTAAACTGGCTCAAGTCTGGAAATTGGTTGAGGCTCCATGATTCTGTTTTTATAATTCAAATTAGTCTTTTGTCCACCCAACCTGGAATTTTTCTGCTTATATAAATTAAGTAAGAATGCAGTGGGCTTCCTATCAATTTAACTTCTAGAAACACCATGATTAATTAGCCAATGCCAGAGCTCTACATGAGTCAGACTATTCTGATTGCTGCTTTGCCTCTGCTGTCCATTGCAGTAACTATGCCCACCTTGGCTTTGATGGTTGAGTGCTACTGCTTGGCCCCTGCCACCTTGGGATCCAATTATTCCCATTGCATTTAAATTTTATAGTTGAGTGACTGTGGTTCCCACTGTAAGATCTGGCATACAGAGAAGAGCAATCACAGAGCTCTTCAAGGATGCAGGTGCTGCCCTCACAAATCTATTTCACAAAGTATTGGTCAAGGGTATGTCTTCTGCACCCTCCCAGCTGGAATAAATAGGCCTAAAGTGACTAATCCACTCTAGCATCCTGATCTCCCTTAGCCTTAGCCTTTTCCTCTACATTAAACCAAGAGAAATCAGGCATTTCCAGCTTGCTCACAGTGGGCCATCTTTTAATCCATATTTCAGCTAACCAAGAAAATAAACTATTAGAACCTTTTTTTAACTCCCCAAGCTGCAACATTAAATGGAGAATTCCTGCTTAGTGGGCCTAAATCAATAAATTAAGCCTGTTCCAACTTTATGTTCCTTCCACTATTATCCTACACCCTTACTATTCATTATCATGCCTGCACTCCAGATTTCTGCTTAAATAAATTAGAAACTCAAGCAGTTCTTTTGGAGTGTAGTGCACTTCCATGTGGTTACACTTTGAACCTCACCTCTAGGGGTCTGCCAGGACTTAGCCTAATTATAGGTGTAGAAGTGATCAAGGGTGTTGGGGGTGGGTCCTGAGGAAAATCAGCATTGTCTTGCCTGGCATATTCCCCAAGGGAGGCCATCACTGTTACCTCAGGCAGTGCAGGGTTAATTTCCTCAGCAAATGTGGAAAGGCTGATGGCAGCGTGGGTTGTAGATTGGGGAGGGGATATTGCCACCACTTGGAGTGGGGAGGCTGTTTCCTCCACCCAAAAAGTCTCATCAGAATTTAGGAGCTCAGTGCCTCCAGCTTCATCAGGGTCCTCCCACATGTCCCCATTTTAAGTTGCATGGTCCCATTCTTTTCTAATCAATGTCTTCACTTTAATAGTAGATACCTGGTGAGGCTGTGCATGCACCTTTTGTTGCAGGTCAACCACACACAAGATAAGAGCTTGTGTCTGATTTTCCACAATTTCTTTTTTTTTTTTTTTGTCTACAGGAGATAAGACTCTCAGGGCAATCTTAGAAGATTTGAGGTCAGTATGTGCTTCTAGAGCCAGGAGATAGAATCCCCGAGTTCATTTTCTTTTATCACATTGTCTAATGAACTTAGGAGCAACCAACCAACTTCATTACATTCTTTAGTTCCTCACATATGGTCAAAGGTATTATGTGCAGAGTTACTAAACTCTTTGTGTCTTTTGAGCAGTGAATCACGAGTATCAAATGCATTTATTTTGCATAATTCTCTAAACAGTTCACACCAAGAACTATCAGTGTTCTCCATACTATTAGAAGTAGAGTCCTTAGCATTTTGGGGTCTAATCATATTAAGCAGGCAACCCCAGAAACCACAAAGACAATTAAAAACTCCATCCTTAAAATTCTGTTCCTCTAGAACCACTCCCAGTACCAAAATCTGTATTAGCATTCTCTAGAGGGCCAAACTAATAGGATAGATATATAGACAAAAGGGAGTTTATTAAGGAGTATTGACTCTCATGATCAAAAGGTGAGGTTCCTCAGTAGGCCATCTGCAAGCTGAGGAGCAAGGAAGCCAGTCCTATTTCCAAAACCTCAAAAGTAGGGAAGCTGACAGCGCAGTAGAAGGCCTGAGAGCCCCTGGAAAACCACTGTTGTAGGTCCAAGAGTCCAAAAGCTGAAGAACTTTGAGTCTGATGTTCGCAGGCAGGAAGCATCCAGCACAGGAGAAGGATGTAGGCTGGGAGACTAAGCCAGTTTAGTCTTTCATATTCTTCTGCCTGCTTTTATTCTGGCCATACTGGCAGCTGATTCGGTGGTGGCCACCCAGATTGAGGGTGGATCTGCCTCTCCTGGTCCACTGACTCAATTGTTAATTTCCTTTGGCAACACCCTCACAGATACACCCAGGTATAATACTTGCATCCTTCAGTCCAATCACATTGATGCCTTGTTTTATTTCACCATAATTTGAGAAGATAACTGATATGATTTTGACTTTTTAATATTTGTTTAGACTTGTTTGTGGCCTGATATGTGATCTTTCATGTGCCAACGAGAAGAATGTGTATTCTGTACTTGATCTTAGCCAAAAGGCAGAGCAATGATGAGAATATGTATTCATTAGTTGTTGGAGGAAATGTGCTGTAAATGTCTGTTAGGTCCATTTGATATATAGTGCAGTTTAAGTTTAATGTTTCTTTGTTGATTTTCTGTCTAGATGATATCCAGTGCTGATAGTGGGATGTTGAAGTTTCTAACTATTATTGTATTGGGGACTCTTTCTCTCTTTAGCTCTAATAATAATTTCTGTTTAGAACTGGGTTATCTAGGGTTAGTTTTTATATATTTATAATTGTTATATCCTCTCTCTGGATTGATGTCTATATCATTATATACTAATCTTTTTGTCTCCCTTCTAAAATTTAAAGTCTATTTGTCTGTTGTAAGTATAGCTATTTCTGAACTTTTAGTTTCCATTTGTGTGCATAATCTTTTTCGATTCATTCGCTGTCAGTCTATGTTATCTTTACAGGTAAAACGAATTTCTTGTAGGCATCACCTAGTTGCTTCTTGGTTTTTTGTTATCAATTCAGTCTGTCTATGTCTTTTAATTCAGGAATTTAAACCACTTACATTCAAGATTGTTATTGATAGATAAGAATTTGTTCTTGTTAATTTGGTGTCTTCTAATTGTTTTGTGTATTTTTTCTGTTATTTCTTAGCTTTGTAAGTGGTGGCTTTTTATATTCTTCTTTTCATTTGTGTGTCCCTCTTCCAGGATGTTTTTGATATGGTTTGGATGTTTGTCCCCTCCTACCATTGAAACTACCATTTAATTGAACACTCTAAATGTGTAAATTATATAGTATGATATACATTCCTAATCACTACTTTCTGATATAAATTTCCCATTAATAACTTTCAGGTATTTTAACATTTATTCATGAATTTAACTATTTCTCAAAAAATAAAAAGACATCCATCTATTATGTCTAGATAACAACTGGTTTTAGTTTCCAGTGTTTACAGGTTTATAGCAGGCACATGTGCTGCTGGAACTAGGTTTCACTGACAAAACTTTAGTCCCAGTAGTTGACTTTAGTTCATCAATCATAATCACCCTTTCTAACATAAATTCCTCCTTAATAACTTTCAGGTATTTTCCCTGTTATTAAACATGGTTAGACTACCAAATCCAACAAAAAAGTCAAATTATGTAAAAACTCAAATGGAAAAGTACCCAATTTTACTTCTTGTATTTCTGCAAATTTAATCATATCCTAAGCTACGAGGTCCACATGGTAAGGGGACCTACGGGGGCATGTTTTCCTCAATCTACAAGATATCTTATTATTTTCCATCCCTGATGCTTACTTAGTTTAAAGTTAACCTAAAAATCACATTAAAATATTTCTGGATGAGTCAAAGTATTTCTGCACTCTAATAATTTCCTGTGATTATGAAGATCATTGTTTTCAAGTTGCTAGGTGAAAAAAAAAGTTATGTTTCATCTTACCAGGTATATCCCTATGGTATGAATGTGATTCAATGTAAACTTTAAAGTCATGTTATTATCATAAATTCTGTAGGATATTTTAATTTTGCATTAGAGATAACATTGTGTGGGGAAAGCACTGTTAAAGTATTGTGAGGCATCAGTTTGTGCAACAACTTTGTTATCACCTCGATATGTGGTCTTGGTCAAATCACTATACATCTCTATGCCTCAATACACTAAGGCTTATATGATTGCTAACAGACCTTCCACTCCTAATGTTTAGTGATTTGGCAATTCAGACATTTCGCTATAACTTTTATTCATTAATAGCAAAGGCTGATTAATACACACACACACACACACACACACACACTCTCTCTCTCTCTCTCTCTCTCTCTCACATCCCTCACATTCCTATGTAAGGATTACCTTGCCAAGTATTTTTAAATCTATTTATTTCTATAGAGACTGATATAGAAAGCTTGAGAGGTGCTTTGGGAAGACGCTTATTAAATGATGAATTCAAGACACAGTCAAAGAGTTTCCCTGGTAAGAAAATATTTTAAGTCTAATATTCCTCATTTATTTTTCTCCTTCAAAGTTTAAGTGTGTATCTTTAATAGCAATAGTACCCACTTGTTATTATGACATGGGCACAGGTTCTCATGAATACCTTCCCATATTTGGTTGTACTCTAGAACATATTTACTAGAAATGTAAAGCTAGCTAGATATTATTACTTTTAGGACTCATCCATTTAGAAAGTAATCCACAAAATAATATAGTATAGTGAGCTTAGAATATACTTGGGACAAGTAATGTTCAAAGTTATTTTAGTCCCTTTCTATTTACAGTTTAGATAGAAAGTTACTTTAAAGTTGCAAAAGCAGTAAGGCTATCTGATGAGTGCAATAAGTAAGGGAAAAAGACAGTTATTTTAATCTTAATAATTCCATCTGTACTTTAAAATGTTAGGCATAGTAATCTTTCAACTATGGCAGAATCCTTTAGTTGTGTAATATAGTTCAGATATTATACTACTGCCTTTGGTACAAGAGTAGCAGTGTCAGGCAAAATACCCTTTGATCTCTGGTGTGATACAAAGGAAGGCAGACAGGTTAATAGAGAAATAAGCAAAAGACATACTCAAAGGGGACCCTCTAAAACCACTGTCTTCCAGAGGTGATTGTTGCATGCCCAAGGCTGTTTTATTGGAGGAACATTAGAGGCTTCACAGTTCAGGATGTATTGAGCCATTCTTGGGTTGTTGTAAAGGAATACCTGAGACTGGGTTCTTTATAAAGAAAAGAGGCTGTACAAGCATAGTGCCAGCATCTACTTGGCTTCGGGGGAGGCCTCAGGGCACTTTTACTCATGGCAGAAAGTAAAGCAGAACAGGCACATTGCATGACAAGAGCAGGAGCAGGAGAAAAAAGGGGGAAGGTGCTGCATACTTTTGAACAACTGGATCTCACAAGAACTCATATACTATTGTGAGAACAGCACCATTCCATGGAGAAGAAGGATCTGCCCTCAAACACCTCCCACAGGGTCCCACCTCCAACAATGGGGATTATATTTCAACATGAGATTTGCACAAGAAAAACATGCAAACCATATCACAGGGGAAATAGGCTTCAGTAAAATAATCAAGCCAAATCACTGAACAAATAAATAAGCAAACAATAATAACATACCCCAGGAAGAAGAGGAGAAGAATCAAAGTTAAGAGTTGCTACATTATGTGTCTAAAATGCCCAGTTTTCAGCATAAAAATGTGAGTTATTCTAATAAGGAAGAAAGTATGACCCATACACAGAAGAAAAGCAGGCAAAAAACAAAAACAAAAACAGAAACAAAAAACATAAAAAACAAAAACAAAAAAACAGCTTATGAGAATCCTAGCTGTTAGACTTAGCAGACAATGACTACAAAGCAGTCAGTATAAATATATTGAAAGAACTAAAGGAAACCATTCTCTAACAAGAAAAGGAAGGTATTATGACAATGTTTCATCAAATAGAAAATATCTACAAAGAGATATAAAATATTTTACAAAGAGCCACATGGAAATTACAGTGTTAAAAAGTACAAAAACTGGAAGCAAAATTTACTAGAGGGATTCAAGTACATTTCAACTGTCCAAAGAAAGAATTAAAAAACTTAAAGTATTAGGAACACTAGAAAGAAAACAGAGAGAAAAAGGAGCAGCAAAAATATGGATGAAAACTTTCTGAAAAATATTTAATTACAAATGAGTCTACACATCCAAGCTCAATTAATTCTAAGTGGAATAAACACAAGGGAATCTATAATCACATTCATAGTAATAATGTTGAAAGATAAAGAGAAAAGCTTAAAAGCAGCAAGAGAAAACTAATACATGATGTAAAGAGAACCCCACTAAAATTAAAAACTGACTACTTATCATTAGGAACTATTAGGGCCAGAAGGCATTGGGACAGCACATTCACAGAGCTAAATGAAGAACTGTTAACCAAAAATCTTATATCCAGCAAAACTATTTATTAAACATGAAGGTGACGTGAAGATATTTCTAAATAGGCTTTTTTAAATAAGAAAATTTATTCCTATCAGAACTGCTTTCCAAGAAATACAGAGTTCTTCGGGTTGAAAACCATTGACCTCTGACACTAACTTGAACCCATAAAATGAACATGGGTTAAAGGAATTCTATAACTCTGAAAGACCACATAAATGCTTACTTCACTTCTTTCTACTCTTAATTTTAACTCTTAATTGATATAAAAAGCAATTGTATAAAAAATATTTATAGAATTTTATTGCTGGGACTTTAAAATATGGACGTGTAGTATATTCCAGAATGTTAACACACAGGCGATGGTTGACAGAAGTGATGTATTGGAGTTAAAAAAAAAAAATGACAAGAAAGGGGGCTCCAAGATGGCTGTCTTAAAGATATCTGGTACTCTTTCAATACATACAAAAAAACAAATTTGAGAATTGATAATCATATTTCAAATAGATCATCTAATCAGGAACACTAGAATTCAGCAGAGAATTAACAGGAAACATCTGAGGCAGAGAAGGAAAGGGAAAGGAGGCAGCTGACCTAACTAGGATTGATAAAGTCCAGAGAGGCTCCCCAGTGTGGGAAAAGGGTAAGTGAGAAGTCCCCAGAAGTCCACATTCCCACCATAGATTGCTGCAATCCTAGCCATGGGAGAGCCACCCTCACAGGCCCTGACCAGTGGCATTGCTCTAAAGAGAGAGCTCATGCTGAGTCACACACACATGGTGAGAACCAAGCGGATGCCGCGTAGTGCCTTTTTTCCTCTGCCTCCTGGGTTCAAGTGATTCTTCTGCCTTAGCCTCCTAGGTAGCTGGGACTACAGGCGTGCACCACCACGCCCGGCTAATTTTTGTATTTTTAGTAGTGATGGGCTTTTTCCATGTTGGCCAGGCTGGTATGGCCCAACATCCCTACCTTTCCACTCCTAGAGCCCCACTGACATCCCCCTGCATCTATGCAGTGGGCTGCAGAAGTGCAGTCCTAGTTGGGTCCAACAGTGTGGTAGGATCCCTAGTGCTCAAGTGTTCAAAATGCTGGAGAATGGGTGGTACAGTACACTGGAGAGGCTGCCTCTGGGACAAACAGAGTTGAAGCATGCAGTACCCAAAACCCAGAATGCCTGAGTCCATTGCCATTGCTGCAACCCTGCCGCCATAAGCAGGAGGGCTACTGTGCGCTTGCACATGCCCTGAGAACAAGCTCTCATCATCTGTCACCACCACCAGAGGCTGAAGCGTGTGCTCACCAGAGCTTGAGAGCCACTCTCCTGGGGCCACAGCCACTGAGAGCAACTCAATCCTACCCAGTGGTAAGACTGCCACACGGTTGCATGCACCCTGAGGACAGGCTCTCCCTGCCAACTGCCATTGCTGCTAATGCCACCCAGGCACACCATTTGGGGTCCTGAGGATTTCCCCACCCTGCTTGCCACAGCATGTGCCCATGCATACCACTGGGGGATCTGAGAACCAGCCCTCTCAGCCTGGAACCAGTGCGCAAAAATGCCAACCAGGGACCTGGGGATTACCTTGCCCCATCAGTTGCCTTGGGCATGCGTGGACATCACCAGGGGACCTCACAATAGGCCAAGAAACCTGCCACCAGCACCAAAGCATGACACCCAAAGGCCAGGGGCTCATCCTGCCCCATCCACCACCACAGGCATCTGTGCAGTCTTCCTGGGTCCTGGAGGATGAACTCAGCTAGCCAGTTGCAGCCACTACCAACACCAGTGCATGCCACTTGGGAGCCTGTGGGTTGTTTCACCACTGCGACTTTTATTGCCCACATCATGTACACTGTCTAGGGGCTCAAGGACACACCTACCTGCTGGCACCATGGCCAGCACTCAAGCAAGCCACCTAGAGGCCCAAGGATTAGCCTGCCTGGACTCACTAATCCTGATGCTCACATATATCCCCTAGGGGCCCACAGATAAGCATGCTCAGCCATTGCTGTCACTAATGAGGCCAAGGACTGACTCAAGGTCTCTGTCCTCAGCGACGCCTCATAGCAGCATCCACCAGCAACTACAGCCTAAGCCGTTGAGGAAATGACGGACATCACTGACACTGTTTATAGCTGAAAAAAATTATACAGAGGCTATATACCACTGCATACACCCGGAATCAAAGCTAAAATGCCCAACCCAGGGTAGGCATGGTGACTCATGCCTATACCCCAGCACTTTGGGTGGTGAAGGTGGCAGGATCACTTGAGATCAGACATTTGAGGCCAGCCTTGGTTAAAGCCCAGTGAAACACTGTCTCCACCAAAAAAAAATTTTTTTTTAATTTAAAAAGTGCCCTATCCAACCAACATCATAGATAGCATCTTCAGGAAAATGTTTTGCTCTATGAAAGCCAATCCACAAAATTGAGAGAAGTGACTGTTACACGAGATGACAGACATAAGGACATAAGAAACATGAAAAAGCAAGGAAATGTGACACCTCAAAAAGAACACAATAATTCTTCAGCAACAGATTTCAGTGAAAAAGAAATTATTGAAATGCCTGAAACAGAATTGAAAATAATGATATTAAAGAAACTCAATGAGGTAGAAGACAACACAGATAACCAATAGAAAGAAATCAGAAAAACAATTTTGAGATGAATGAGAAATATGTTAAAGAGATAGACATCATTAAGAAAAGAACCAAACAGAAATCCCGTAAGTCAATTCAATTAATAAAATAAAAAATACATTCAATGGGAGAAAATTTTTGCAATCTACCTATCTGACCAAAGGGTAATATCCAGAATCTACAAAGAACTTAAACAAATTTACAAGAAAAAATCAAACAACCCCATCAAAAAGCAGGAAAAGGATATGAACAGACATTTTTTAAAAGAAGATATTTATGCAGCCAACAGACACATGAAAAATGCTCATCATCACTGGCCATCAGAGAAATGCAAAGCAAAACCACAATGAGATACCATCTCACACCAGTTAGAATGGCGATCACTAAAAAGTCAGGAAACAACAGATC